GCAGCAGTGTGTGTTGACTGCATGGCTTAAATAAAAAAAGGACATGAACTGATGTGTGTTTTATATTAACTAACAATCACCATGCCTTTACTGAACAATAAATAATAAATGAATTGATAACATTTTGTCTGTATTGAAGTGACTTGATGCTCCTCTCTGAAAATGACAAAACGTTTTGTAATTTACCCCCAAAAAAGTATGGAAATTGGAATATATATATTTTGAAGGGGTTCCCAATTCAAACAAAATTGAAGTTCCAAATATTCAAAATCTGAAAACACTTTGTGACAACCCTGCTGGTTGCATACACGCTTACACGTCTGATTATCTGACTTCCTTGTCTCACAATGCTTGTTAAATGTTCTAATTATATTGTAAACAAATGTAACATATTTCTACAAGTAACTCTTTGTCTCCTCTCTTTATTTGTCACTGCTTTTGAGAAGGCTAAAAAAAATGTAGACTGCACCTTACATATCTCACAATGCAGATACAAATTAGATCTGTCATATCTCTACATCTCTTCAGTTGCCTATAACACCAAAAACAGACCTAATCATTAACCTTTATTAACACATTCTCTTTAAGTGTGTGACTAAGTTGAGCATTGACTAAATATTGACCTTTGAAAAAAGCTTAAAAAATAACCTTTTGCACTTAGGGCAAATCCCTCTGGCCTTGGTCTGGGACACTTTCCAGGCATTGTTGCATTTTACAAACATGTAGTACATCAATGTCAGCTCATTTTAGTTACAGGTAATCTTATTCAGCACTTTAATGCTTTTCCCTCTCAAATATCAAACCAGACACTGTTTCAAGGTCACTCTGTAGGGTTTAATATACTCAATATCACAACTGTGTTCTTTCTCTTGGCAAAACAATGCCAACAGCTGTGTGTCTGTCTTAAATGACCCAACATGAGCCTCTCTATACATCCTCGACCAAGGCAGAGGGAAAGCAAAGACACCCTTGAAGACTGCGATGCTACTTGCCTCCTCGGACTATAGAGGCACGACTGAACACATTTTCATATCTTACAGGCTGCTGACCAATAGGAATTCATGATCTCTGACAAGAATGACGATGCTATGTGTTAAAGACTGATTGAAGGTGATGATAATGCAGGTATAGGGAATAAAATCCAGACAGTGAAGTGAAAATGGGAGTGCCAGACAGATATCTTAAGCATCAAAAGCACTTGAATCTGCCAATAAGCATGCTTGAAACAACATGAAAGGGGGGTGGAGCTTCTTTTTACAAAGTGTTTATAGATCTTTCACTAAATCCATCTTACTTATAAGCTGTATGAACTTAAGATTCTTGAACCTCCTTTATCTAAGAATATACTAAACGTTCTCTTGTTAGATTCTCAATAGGAATATTTGATATTCTTCAGGGACTGAGACTGCAGACTGAGTCCAGAGAAGCAGTAGAAGCAATAACTAACAGCTCTTATTTACAGGTAAGAGAAGGTGCCAAGGAAATGAAAATATAATCACATTTTGTCAGTCAACATAATAAGATATTGCCAAGACTGTCTGTTTCACACAGAAAGGGGGTTTAAGGGCTGCTTCTATCAACCAGTGGGGTTGTGACCTCTCAAGAATGAGCCATGCCAAGTATGAAGAAAGTAAAGGCCGGACTGCAACAAAATAGGAGCATCAGATATCAGACGAGATGAAGTGTGCAAGGAACTCCCAAACAGATGACACAGCTGTTCAGATATGATAAGTCAAATGAAATACTGAACATAAGCCAAATATTATTTCATTTCCGAGTCACAAATCTACCAAGCAATCGAGTGAGACTCTAAAGGGATATCAATGTGGATGCTGACCCTAACCCTAACAGTTTTCATTGAAACATTTATGAGAGGCTTCTATTCTGTTCAACTTAGGGATGTTTAGAAATGAGATTGATAAGTAACACATTTTATTAACATGTTTGTTCAATTGAAAAAGCACTTTAAAGACTCTATCATTTTCTGTCCATCATGTCTGTCCCTCTCCTCCTTGCTCTCTTTGTTGTCGACACACTTACTGGACGAGTCCTGCACAGCCTGATGCTGTGTTGTGTAACCTATAGTGTGTCAAAGGGAGGGAGGCAGACAGGTGCAGCTGGTTCTCCAGATCTAAAACCCTTCCACTGCACCCTCACTGACCTGAGAAACCACCCGCTTGAAGCAAAATCTGCTTTTTTCATATTTTTGCTTCAGTTTGGTGTTTGTTTATATGTGAAACAGAAACGATAGCGAAGTGCAAGCTTGATAATATCATTGATTTAGAGTTTCAAAAAGGGGCATCATACCAACCAGAACCCTCGCTTTCATGAATTGATTTGTACATTTAATACAAAGTAAATTAATGAAAACAGAAATTAGACAAATGAAAACAACCCTCTTAGTTTTCTTCTCTGCCCTGAACATTTTAAGCTGCGTCCACTCTCCTCCGTCATTCTTACATTTTCTGTCCTCTTTTCTCCAAGCTCACATTTATCATACGTACAGCAACTGTTGCTAGGCAACAGCACACACCCACATATGCATATAAATACTTGAATCATTACAATTAACCCATTAAAGCACAAAATACAAGTTCTTAAGGGATCCTGTATCGAAATGGTGATTTATAAAAAAAATGTGTTTTGTTTTCCAGATGTGTGTTAGTGTATGGGAACATAACAGAAACGAAATAAACTGTCTACCATATTTTTATCATGAGCCTACCAGTCAGTCCAGAACGTTGAACAGTTTCTGTTGTGCCATCAAAATGAAACTACAAGCATGATAACTCCCATGAACCCTCAGTTTGGATGAGCCTGAATTGGACCCAGTGCTTCCAGGAATCAGATTTCAGCCCAACAACTACGGGCAGGTGCACATGCTTTGTCTAGGTTTTGTAATAGAATAAATGAATGCAGCAGCTGAATCAAAGGCAGGGCAGAAGAGAAAAGAAAAGGGCTTATTATAGAGTACACCAAAGAGAAAGGTGTGTGTTAAAGATACTCAGGCATATCTTCAAAATTCTTTCATGCTCACACAATCATGCATACGAGCATACAGGACAGGTACAAGTACAGACCTGCAGAGAGAGGGTGTGTGTGAGCTGTTTTAGTAGCATGTGTGGGAAGGTAGACAGGGCTGCAGCTCTGTTAGTCCAGAATGACACAACAACAAGGAAAAAGAAAAACTGGAAATCCAGTCACTCTGATATACTACAAAATTCACGAGTGGATGTGATTTGATTAGAAACGGCTGGATTGTGTGTTGAAGTTTAGTAGAGGCTCTTATCTTGATTTGACAACGCAAAGAATGAAAGAGCTGCCCTTCAGAGGGTCAAAAATGTCATATACACAGATATATACTGTATATAGTTATACACACACACATAAAATGACTGTCACCATCTTTCCATTCACTGTTACACTCTCCTTAACCTATAGACATTTTCTGTGTGCAATGAATTAAACAGAAAGTTATAGTGATCGATTTAAAAATCATTATCAATATAAACTAACCCAGGGGGAAATACTAAATTCATTCAAATCAAACTGAATGTTTAATTTCTTTGTTTGAGGGCACTTTAACAAAGTGACAGCATCACATCTATGTGTGTAATGGAAACACTGTCTCTTATTATCAATCTTCCATCACTCTCATCATGATCACATTACATTTTCTCCACTGCTTTTTAACCTAAGGAAACATCAGCTTCCTTTGTCAGCGGTGGAATTTTCCACATGGCGATCTTCATAAGACCATGAGAACAAGAAACAGGCGGGAAAAGGGAAAACGTCTATTCCTGTGACCTTCCGCCCGGACCATTCATCACTGAGATGGGTTTTAGCAGCAAATTGAATGTCTGTCTCCCTCAATCTTCTTCTTTCATTCCTGCAGAGGTTGCTCCCTCAAAACACAAACTCTCTGTTAGTCACACAAGTGTTAAATACACAGAAAGTTTGTGTCTGAGAGGGAGGAGGAGGAAGAAGAGGAAGGCAAAAAAAAAAAGACAAGCACAGAGAACAGAGAGTAAACAGGCAGCAGACGCTGACATGGAGAAAGAGAAGAAGCGACAGAAACACTGAAAAAATCCTCCCATTCTGTAAAACACTGAGGAAAGCAGCCAGGCAGAGTTAACAGGGCATCCCTGGCCTACATGCCGTTAAATCTCCTCTGATAGTTTCCCACAGGAGTGCAGCCAGACTGGCACGTGCACTGAATGGGGCTACAACCTCCAGCCAGTTGTTCCCAAGATACGAGCTCCATCCCTGCAGAGAGCTAAAGTACTCCATACCTGCTGCTGCCTCTTTGCCTGCTGCTGCTGCTGCTGCAAGGACATCTCCTCCCCTGCCTCCTACCACAACCACACACTGCAGGGCCTCCTCTGAGTAAAAAATGCACCCAACCTGTATGCTATCCTGCATCATTTACTCACACACTCACAAGACCACTTTTACATTCTTAATTAAGTGACACATTAAGAGGGGTGCTCACTTCTCAATAATGCACATTAGGGGTTGTATTCAAGCATGATATCAAGCCTGAAAATTACTCACATTTTTTTTTACACCCAAGCGAAATGGATCCTCACTGTGCGTGGCAATGAGTTTCCCTCCTCTCTTATGCACTAAGCTAACGTCATAACCCACTTTTTTTTTTTTTTTAAATCAGACAATCATATTTGAAGCACTGGCACAAGCACGTCTCCAACCTAATGTATCATAAAGCTAATAAATATTAAATAAAACATACCAAATATGACATTTAAGGTTCAAAGGAATAATGCTGATGATTTCATGCGAAATGAAAAAGACCTAATTAAAAAAAAAAGACCATTCAATTGTTGAACACAGAGGACAATAAGCATGACATCTTCCAAAATTCACCCTGTTGATGCCACCACAAATTCAGCACGAGCGCCCCATCCCTGTCCCAAAAAAAAAATCATGCGTAAAAGAAGGTGTGCCATTTTTTTGCGAACCACTGCGAGCAGCAGCCTTACCTGAATCGGGGTGAATCCTTTATACATTCTTCAAAGTCCACCGTCATTGTTGCGTTTTCTCGTATATTCTCACTTCAGTCTGCTAAGGTCATTGCCCGCGGCGAGATGTCGCTTGAACCGTGCGGATGGTGGCTGGTATCCCCTGACGCGCAGCAGTCTGTCGCCCCTCTCCCGGTGGCACCGTGACACAAAATGCAAGCAGAGTGCGCGGCAGGCGGATTACTACTACACTGCTGCCGAGACAGGCGAGAGGCGTAGCTGCACTGAGGAGACTGTAACAGCAGCGGAGAGCGCCAACTAGTTATTAACCTCTGTAACACGACTGACGAACAAACGCGCAAAGGGTTATAAATAGAAAATAATGTAAAAAAAAGGAAGCTAATAGGAAACGGAACTTAAACACAAGTTTGTACACATAAGCTGACAAGGGAATACATCCTATAGCAGCTGTATAACGCAAATCATAGCTGTTTAAATCTGGTTCTCATTATTATAACCTCCAAAAATCTTACAGTAGGCTAATTGAAGAAGTGGCCTACTACACTCTACATTTTAAATGATTGTCTATTAAAATTTGATTGGCATGTTTTCATTATTAAATCAAAACACTTCGATTTAATAATCACATGGTTGATAGTTAAACTTGCTTATAATAAAAGAATAACAAGTCAAATGCAAATGCTGACATTGCTGTCAAATGTAAGCTGCCTTCATAGTAATTTTTCAATAGTTATGCTATAAAACCATGTTGTGTTTGAGCAAAAGTGTCTGAAAGAAAATGTGTTCTATGATAAATCAACAGGTTTCTTTTTACTTCAATAGAGTAAAATGTGTCCGTTAGGAAGAAATTGTCATAATTAGTATTTGAGTAGATATTTTACACGATTAAATTTTTTTGTTTATTTTCATCTTTCTTGATCTTACAGCGGTCTGTAACTCCGGTTGACTGCCTTTATCTCCTTTGCTACGGTCTTATCTCTGCTACCTTTACGCTCTCTGGTCTCAATGATTTTGAACGGAGAACGCTTTGCGGCTGGTCAGAGGAGGACGACGAAGATTTAGGAGTTCTGACGGTCTGAGCTGCACCACTTTGGACTGCATGCATTAATCATCAGAGACCGTTTTACCAAGAAATGTTTTTGTGAAGGTGTTTCAAGAAAAAATCTATTCTGAAAAAAGGTGCATAAAGGAGGAAGGAAGATAAAAAGTAAGCTGCAATAACACCCTATAGACACAAGATGGTGCTGTTTAGTTCCACAGCGTGGGAGACAGAGGTGAGATCTGCTGCTTGGTCTGTTGTTTACAAAATGAAAACTCTGCACAAGCTTTCGTTTATGTGAGAAACTATTTTTTTGAATGTCATCAGCCAATTAAACTAGGACTGTAAAAATTAGTGTTTGGTGTCGCCTCCACTATCCTCCAGCGGCACACCTCCAACCCCTCTGCACTCGAGTTTGCACAAAGTAGTTATGAATTAGAACCCATCATAACCTTTAAGCGCAAGCGTTGGACTAAATTGTACTTGGCTCAAGCTCCGATTGCCTGCGGCCTGAATTGTTGTGTTAGCAGGCTAATGTTAGCGCTCTTTAGTTAGCTCATAGCTTCACATTGGACATAAATTGACACAGAAAGACAGAGATCTAATTACACTTATGTGACATTCAAATAAGCAGTGAGTATGTTCTTCTTCTTTTCTCTAGTCCTTGACTAAAACAGCTTCATACACATGGCCGTCCCGTCCTTGTAAACATGATGTAAACACGACTCTGACAACAACACAGCCAGCAGGACTCTCACTTCTCACTCATTATAAACAGTCATGACTTAGAGAGACATTTATAGAGGACAAACTTAATTTCTGCTTCATTTATGTGTCAAATGTTGCACATTCTTCTTTTAAATCAAAGACAGTTGTTGTTCAGTTTGATGCATTTACCAAGCCCAGGTTGTACTTCTACAGAATCCCATCTGACAAATAAAAACCAGAGAGGAGTTAGGCCGTGTTCACACTTGACTTCTTCTTTCAGAAAAAAGTACTGCCTTCAGCGCCTTTTGAGCACTTATGCGCATTCAATTTGCTGCTAAAACCCATCTCAGTGATGGATGGTCCGGGCGGAAGGTCACAGAAAGAGACGTTTTCACTTTTCCCGCCTGTTTCTTGTTCACATGGTCTTATGAAGATTGCCATGTGGAAAATTCCACCGCTGACAAAGGAAGCTGATGTTTCCTTAGGTTAAAAAGCAGTGGAGAAAATGTTATGTGGGCGGGTAAACTTATGATCATGATGAGAGTGATGGAAGATGTAACCTTAACAACGGGATCTAGTCTGCGGTGCAACCGCGCCGCAGCCGGCCGGAGCACAACGCATCGATTTAGCACAGAAAAGAACAAACGGGACGGGAAGTCAGACACCGATACAACATTAAAACATCCAGTTTATTTTCAGAATAACACCCTCCGTTTTGACGGTTCAGAAAAACCACCGTTTGTGTGTTTGTTTATGTGTTTATAAGGTTTGTATTGACTTTTATACCACGAACATTGTATTATCTCGTGCTGTCGCGAGTGAATCTGTTAAATAACCGCGGAAATTCCTTTGTCTCCGTACTCCAGCTGTCCAGCTGTGCTCTCCGTGCTGTAGACTGAGAACGCAGCCGGTGGATGTTGATGGATGAGGATGCACGGAGCCGTAACAGACCAGAGCGGACACGCAATGCACACATATCTGGTGGAAGTTTGCCGTTTTTGGGCACAGGTAACTAGGGACGTAGGTTACTACTCGTCCTGATTGGTCAGCTGTCAGAAAGGCGCTTGACATCACCCAGCGTTTTTTCTGAAAAGTTGAAATAATTTAACTGAAAATGCGTCGGGCGCAGTGCTTTTTGAAAAGGCGTCATCCTTTTTCATCAGACAAGTCAAGTGTGAACACGGCCTTAATGATGCTATTAGAAATGCAGATTTTAATGACAGTTCCTGGTGTGTGTCCCTATAAAAGGCCTTCTAAACCACAAACTGGACACATTTTACACTCCTCTGAGTGTTCATCTGACGCCGGACTCGTCTGCGATGGCGCGGCTGGACCTGTTGTACCCCTCTCCCCTGTAGAAGTCAACTCCAGCTCGGTGTCCTGGTTATTTTCCTCCTCCAGGGGGAGCCAGAAGTTAATAGGATTTCACTGAAAGGCCAAAATATTATTCTGTTACACTTCTATGCCATTCTAAAATTTTTAATTTAAATGAGGTGCCAAGGACCGCTGACATTGGCGCTACTGCAGGCCCACTCTGATGTTTAAGCGCTTTACTCTGTTTTTAAGGCAGGGACAAACAATTCCTCCACCGTGATCAAAGTAAGGGGATTGAGAGTGTCCTAACTTCTTATCAAAGAATGGCTTTAAGTTTGTGTTTGTCTTGGTGTGTACCTGGTTGCTTTCCTACAGTACCATCCTAATGAACGCCACCACCAGGTTAACCCGCATGAACAGGGCCATGATGACGAAGCTGACGAAGTATACCGGGGAGACCCACGACATGTAGCTTTGACAGGCATCTTCATCGACAGGACATTTCATCAATGTGTCCTGAAAAAAAAAACACAATCAGCTTGTAGAGAATGGTCAAGTATTGTTTTATTTAACCTTTATTTTACCAGGCAGAATTGCTTGAGATCAAATGACCTCTTTTTCGAGCAAGGCCTGGCCAAAATGGCAGCAGCAAAAAAGAAATATAAGACAAACCCAAAAAGAAAGCACAGACATGAGAAAAAGAGACAAATACAGTCCAGAAGGTGAAGAAGAAGAGGGAGGAGGAGGAGGATGAGAAGGAGGATGACATCATGTTAAACAAAAACAAAACACAACACACACTAAAAGAACAATTATGTGATGATGATAAAATACTATGCAGTGAAACATTTACATACTCCAAAATTAGCCTTCAAAAAACTTGTGAGCCGAGTTTTAAAATCATTAATAGTGATGAGTTCCTGCAATTTGAGTGTTTTTTGAAGACTGTTCCATGCGGAAGAAGCAGAGTACATGAAGGCCCTCTTCCCAAACTCAGTACGAGTTCTGGGGACTGACGTAGATAGAAAGTCCAGAGAGAGCAAACTGTATGATGGATTTGATTTAAAAGTGAGGTAGGTGCAGAGGTATGAAGGGAGTAGTCCAGTAATTGCTTTATAAATGAAGGTGTACCAGTGAAGAAGCCTACGAGCTGACAGGGACAGCCAGCAAACTTTAGAGTACAGGGTGCAATGATGGGTGAGTGATTTACAGCCTGTAATGAATCTTAACACACAATGATAAGTAGCATCCAGCATGTGCAGTGAGGTAGAGCAGGCATTCATGTACAGTACATCACCATAATCTAATATGCACACTGCAGGCGGTGATGTTTTGGTTAGCAAGGCTTGATAAGTAACCGCTCAAAAGTGATTAACCTGCTGAATTTGTTAACAGTTAATTACTAATTAAATGTTTTCCAAGAGAGTACGATTACAGTAATTATTCTCATTAAATATTTTAAATGATTAAATCTTTGAAATGCATTCACAATGTATTTTCCTTTCACCCAGTCCTCCCCTCACTCAATAAATGATTAAATGGCTCTCAGATCCTTGTGTTTAAATGTGCACACCAGCTAGAGGCTCTATAGTCTAGAATCTCTATACTACCTTTCAAGTTCAGAATAAATAGTCTTTTTTCATTGATTATTTTATTATAAAATACATTGTGGTGTAGATAAGATAAGATATATTTATTGTCATTGTACAATTGTATTGTGGTGTACAGAACCAACATGACAAAAGTTGTGTCACTGTCCAAATACTTGTGGAGCTGACTGTATAATCAACTAGATTACACTGCGTGCACAATTATTAGGCAAATTGTATTTCTCAGGATTAATGTTATTTTTGAACAAAAACAATACTTTCAGTCAATTCAAAATTACAACATGGTGATGATCTAAAATTTGTTCCTGCAGCTCCTAGGTTGCACTAGCCTATGTTAAAATGTTGCTTATAACGCTTATAAACAGAAATGCTTAGCTATAAATTACTCCTGTTATAATGTCAGACACCTGTGAGCTTTAAGACGCCGTCCAGCAGAAGTCAAACTGCCCCGTGAATTATACATATTCCTTAAAAAAAGTGAATTCAATGATACAATTAAATCTTTATTTAGAATGTATGCACAGAAATTGCGCATAAAACAGGCTGATGGAAACATATAAAATGTACCAGTCAGGAAGGGGGGGGATTGGGACGCAAGTGCCCAGGGGTGTCTCAAAGTTATCCCAGAAGGATAACCACAAAATCAGGCTTCCTGACCTAAATAATGCACCAAAAAGGATTAACTAAACCATTGCTACCAAGCAGCTGACTCAAAACCAAAATTGTCCAGGAGACCCAGAAAACACGAAACAAAAAGCAAAGGCTGCCAGGGAGACCTTTGATAACACAAAAGACTGGAGTAGACACGAAACTATCCAGCACCCCAAGTTATACACACGGGGCCGTATCTGAATTGCCAAGTACATACTGAATCTTTCAGTAGGCAGTAGGCAGTATGCAGTACGTATTCCACGTAATTGTATTTTACCACCCACAATGCTGTGCAAAATTTAACGTAAATCGTCACGTCTGCCTCCAAATCAAAAGAAAGGAGCGTGGATTAATTGAATCAATTTTTAATTTAGAGTTAAAGTCCCATCTGAAATAGCTACTTTAAATTAACAACAGAAAATAAAACAAATGTCTGCATTATTATAAAACCTTTCCCCCTCTATTTAAATAATGATTTCACTATTTAAATGTATCTTTATTGGTTTATTTTATATTACTGTCTTTCATTTGATCTTTCCTCTATGTACTGTATGTTATTTGGTTCTTTAATCTGTCTTTTACTTGATTTACATAGTGATATTGTTTTTTGTTTAGCTGACTGTATATGCGCATTACTCTTCTTGAATAAAGCTAAACAAAAAAGAAACTGGTGAATGCGGCCGGTTGGGGTAACGTAAATGACATCACTTCCTTACTGAATGAATCAGACGAAGTAGAAACAAATATCTGCCTACTGTGTGTGCATACTGAATAGTAGGCACTAAACAGTATACAGCACGGATAGTAGGTACTGCCTACTGCCTACTGAAAGATTTAGTATGTACTTGGCTAAATCTTTCAGTAGGCAGTAGACAGTAGGCAGTACGTACTATCTGTGCTGCATATAGTATCCTGTTTTGGTCTCATTCACCACCAGATAAAAGTTATTTTTGGGGAACAGTAGCTTTGTCTTTGCAGCTCTGCCATGCACACTGTTGTTAAGTGTTTTCCTAATGGTGGACTCATGGACATAACATTAGCCAGTAGTTGCTTTGAAGTTACCCTGAGTTCCTTGGTAACCTTGGATTGATGTATTTCACCCTCTTTGGAGATGGTTGTGTCCCTTTTCCAGCCTGATTAGTACTTTCAACTCGTTTTCTGGTCTTATCAACCATTTCTGTTGTTATTGAAAGCCATAAATATATACACTACAATCCTCATGAATTCCTTTAGTTTTACATTTGTGATTAATCATTTAAGATTTCATATCATTTTTTTGCTATGTTCATTTTTTCTATGTAATTTATCTCAAAAAGGGCTATTGTCCTCCACGCACATCTGAGACTGCTCCCGATTCTGCTGCAGATAAGGGATGGCTTAAAGCTGATGCTTCTCCCTGTGCTGTGACCTTGCCGTGGTGGAGAGGCTTACGTGCTTCTATGATCCTGAGAGCTATACTGGAGGGAGCCTATGGCTCCTGGCAGGTTCAACCATACCAGACTGGTCTTGGGTGAGGAGTGAGACAAAAGGCAGCACCTGGTCCTCCAGGTTGGGGGTTGGGCTTGGCGCTAACAACGCAACCCTGTAAAAAAACCTACTGTTCAGGCCCATTGTAGACCCTGGCCACCCAAACTCTTTGGGTGGCAGTATGACCACTTCTGATGAAAGCCGAAAGGAAGTCAGGAGTGCGAAAGAGGGCCTACTAGGGCCTAAAACCAAGATACGCATTGGAGCATGGAACATCCGAACCATGTTTGAGACCACCAAGACAGCACAAGTCCTCAGTGAGATGAAAAGGTACAACCTAGACATCCTGGGGATAAGTGAGAGTCACTGGACCGGCTCCAGTTGTCAAGTCCTGCATGATGGGTCTGTCATCCTCCATTTTGGCCACGAGAACAACCACACACATGGTGTAGCCATCTTAATCTCCAAGGAGAAGGCCAAAACCTTGATGGAGTGGGAACCAGTAAGTGAAAGGCTGATCCGAGTACGCCTCAACTCAAAGTACTGCAAACTCACCATCTTACAGTGCTATGCACCAACCAACGAGGCTGAGGAGGAGGTCAAAGAAGACTGGTATGAACAACTGCAAATGGCGGTTTCAAAGGTACCCCAACACGACGTACTTCTCCTAACTGGTGACATGAATGCCAAAGTGGGAACAGACCATTCCAACAACAAGAGGGCAATAGGCAGGCATGGATGTGGCGAAAGAAACAACAATGGTGAACGCCTTGTTGATTTCAGATTCTGTACACAGCTTGTGTTGCTAACTTAGCTTAAAGATTGTTTGTTTAGTTTGTTTTTTGCCAAAGATACACGGTTTAGTAACCCACAGAGTTAAAGAAACATGTTTAAATTCAATAATTAAGATAAAAAGCGTGATTTCTTCATTTTTAAATGGAGTACGTTTAGATATTTGGCTTGAAATATATCGTGGTTTTGTACTAACCTCTATGATCTGAACAAGCCATCAGTAGATGAATTTCCAGCGGGAAAGACAGTTCAGTTTTCGACGTAGCTGGGCTACGTAAGTCATCAGGGCAGTACGCTAAATGGGCGGGGCGTGTTACCAGGGCTCCTGCCCCCGGACCCTACTGCGCAGACTCTGGCTCCAAATGACGTTTAAATCGCAAGATGGAAGCGCCCCTAAGCGGCGTATTTTGGCTTCAAGAAAGTTGAGTGGGAACAGCTAGGCCCTTTTTCAAACCAACCCCTAAACCCTACACCCTCCCCCTCCGTGACGGAGTGCACTCTGTTAGAAGTCACACTCTCAGCTGAATGAAGTCCCCTTCATCAAGGTGTAGGGTAGAAATACAGCGGCAAGCTTTGGGACAAACTTCCCTCTCTCAGGTGGAAACAGGAACTGTGTGTTACCATGGTTACTTAGTGGTATCTTGCGGGAACAGCTTTTTTTTTGTAGCTAATGCATTCTGTAAAAATATTTATGTAGCCTAGATTCTTCTTCTTCTTTAGTTATATTAGTGTAAACTTATAACAAAACTATTAGATTGAGCCTACATTGTTTATTGTAATTTATAATTTAAGTTCATTTATTGTAACTTTTAGAACAGGGTGTCCTAAATTAATGCAAAGACAAGGAGACTATTGTTGAACATCAGAGCAGCAAAAAGTGTATTTTTTGTTGTTGAATTGAGATTTCACAAAGACATCAAAAGTAGAAAAATAAGAAATAAATATTAACAGCAAAAAGTTGTCTTCAACATGATTTAATATTCTTTTGTTTTTACAGTCCCTGTAAATATAAAACACTTTACAATAAATACATATATTTGATCCTCAGTACATATTTCAAGTTGTTAACGTCTGTATGATGATATTAAACGTCTATCTTAGTTGGAGTAGTGTTTGAACTCACAGGTTGCTTCATCCATGACGACCGGACACAATAGGCGTTGCACGTGATCTGAAAGTCGGCATCGGTGCACACTCGCTGGTGGAGGGTTTTATAACCCACTACCACTCCCCGCTAATTGGTTTGGGACGGACTTAATATGGCGGACCCTCCGCGGGGACCATAGACTGTAAATATTAGCGGGGACGCAGAAACGGAGGGGTAGTGGGTAGGGGTAGGGTGTAGTGGCCAGTTTGAAAAAGGGTCCTAAAGTGGACAAAACTTAAGGTTAACAAAGTGTGACGTAATCAAAAAGGGACGGACAGGACTAAACTGCGACAACCTCAGACAATTCCTTGCAAAAAAACTTCACACAGGAGCAATTTCGCCTGACTTAAAACAGTAACTATGACGTGAGTAGTTAATTTCATGCCAACCATATTAAGAATAGACAAAAAGATAGTTAAGGCAGCGTCTAGCGGCGGGATGTGACCACAGGATGTGACGTCTTAATGTCGCCTGGCTTCTAAAACAAATGAACCGCGGCGTGTCTTTTACTTACAGTGCTAAAATGTTGGTTCTTTACGGAGTTAAATATAAGACAATAAAAATTCAAGTGATGGGCAAACCAACTAATTCATTTAGTAGCTTCATTCGGGGCTATATTATGTCCTACTTCCGGACTACAACTAACACAGCGTGCTCGACAATGCAGTCCGTGTTGTATGTCATTAAGTTTGTCGACTCAAGTTCAGTCTTTAAAAAAATCTTATGTGTCAATGTTATATCAGTATGAGCGCATTTATTTAAAAGTGTAACTTTTTATTCTTACAGAAAAGAAACATGACAGAGAAGTGTCAAATACAATCTGAGGGACCATGCACAACTTGGCACGTTATCTCGTCTTTTTTCAGTACATTGGAACAAAGTACAGGTGGGTTTAGCTGCATGATAACGTGGTACGTTTGATTGAAGGTGTTATTGTTTTTGTTGAGTGTTATTTCATTATTTCTGCAGTGGTGTAGTAAAAGCACCGCCACATCAGTTAAGGAAAGGAGTCCAGAACTACTTAGAAGTAAGTGGTAGTTAAATTATTGTATTGTCCCCCAATACACTTCCTATCAGCTCTAAGTTTACAGATTTATTTAATATCACTTTGTCTAATTGTGTAACTAACCTGTCTGCCTGTATTAAATGATATTTTACTGTAAATGTCCAACTGGTTTTGAACTCTGTGGTGTTCTCTTTGTGTGCAGGATGCAATAAGGAGGCTGAAGCCACTCAACCCAGTGTCTCTGACAATCTCCAGCCGAACTGACACAGGTGTCCACGCTCTTTCTAACTCTGCTCATTTCGACCTCCAACGCAAGAACGACAACCCGCCGTTTCCTGAAGACAGTCTTGTTGATGCCATTAATTTTCACCTGGGGACAGCACAGATTAGGTGAGTCAGGTGTGGGAAATCTCAAAAGTGCATCTGAACACTTCCTGTGTGTCAGTAGGACACCTCTAGTTCCTTGGTTCTTGTATCCATTTCGTATATAATCTGTATATCACTCATTATTTTTGAAAGCAGCTGCAGTCAGTTTGCAATCAAAGTATGACTTCACGCCTAGAACATCAACATATGTACAGTTTATTTGTAGATTTGAAGCTACAGAACATGGCTAATAACATTTCCCAAATTAAATCCAGAGGGCATCTTAACTTGTCAGTCTGCAGTGTTTTCTAAATTATAACTGTGAATTAATCATTTGCATCAACCTTTGTTTGTTCAACACCCAGGAGTGCGGTGACCATGTCGATGTCAAATGTTATTTTGAGTACTGCGATTATTAAACTCATGGATTTTACATCTGCATCACATGCATTTATCAAACTGAACATCCTTTTGAAAAGGTTTAATTTGAGGCTTTCCATTGTGAGACAGGACAGAGGATAGCGTTAGAAATCGGGGAGAGAGAGAGAGAGTAGGGAATGACATGCGGCAAAGGAGCCACAGACTTGAACCTGGCCCAGTTCTCTTTCAGGACTGTAGTGTCTGTACGTGGGGCACGCAAATGAACTGCTAGGCCACCACTACCCCAAACTTAAACACTCTTGACAAATTAAGATTCTGAACACAAAACAGCAATAAGGAAACATTAAATAAGTGAATATGAATATACAAAATAATAATATGTAATTAGGGGAGCAATATGTAACTCTGACACCTAGCGTTTAAAATGGGTACTGCGGTCCAAATTCAAAACATTGAAAAGAGCTGTGTCCTCCATCCCCTCCTCCCCTAGAGCCGATGTGCAAGCAGGTTGCCATGTCGCGGACACGGAAGCTTCAGTGTTTAACCAGCTCTGCAGGGGTCTTGAAACCTTTCTGAGCAAAAGCATCTCCAATATTTATCCTAGTTTTACCATGTGTCTGGTCGTGGAGCTTTATAAGAAAAATGCCGAGGCTTTTTAGGTCGGGTAGAATCAGATATATTTGAATCAGTTCACTTGCCTGCTTGCCTGGTTTGCTTTTCTGTGCATGTTACTGAAGGGCCTCCAAAACGGTGACCATGCTGGACTGGAATCTAAACTTAGTAGGCGGACATACTGGCTGAGGCATCATTTGACAGAGAAGCCAGCTCTTCAACATGGAGTGGTCTGATGAAATAGTAGGTCATTTTATGTTTTAATTTAGTAGATGTCTTACCCATTGATCCTTTAAAATAGATAAATAAAAAATAATTAACTATCTTTTGTAGGTAGTGGTGATGTACTCTTTTTGGCCAAATTATAACAACAAACACTTTGAAACATTTACAACACTTGGAAAACCCTGAAGACAAACGAGCACAACACGGCAGGTGGCACAGTCATCATTTCATCTCAATGATCTTGTTTTCATGATCATAGGAAACCAAAATCATTCTTGAAATTGAAGCTTGATTAATTGTGCCCGGTCCTTCTCTGTTGTCAGTGAAAATAATGATTTAACCATATCTTCTTTAATCTAGGTTCTTCCCTCAAGAGCTGTGATTTAGTTTAATATCTACCTGTTGAGCAGTTACATGCAAAGAACAGGAACTGTGTGTACATATTTCAAATCAAACAGAAAAGGACAATACGGAGAGATACAAATGGAAGCCCAGTCTTTGATAGAGGTTGAGGCAAGGACAAAGTTAGAGCAGTGAACGGATACAGAGTCTGAATAAAGACAGAGGTGTGAGAGTGAGAAACAGAAGAAAGGGAGGAGGAAAGAGAAGCTCCCAGCATCCTGTTAATCCCTAAACCTGCAGAGGGAAGGTTAAAAAGGATTATCCCTGCTCCGTTTTCAGGTCTATAGTATCTGTTACTACACACACTTTCACATACATACACAGACTGATACACTCATCTAGCTAAATGGAAATTAACGCCTTGATTAGTATGTGAAACCAAACAGGAAATAGCCAGTATAATCACACTTTTTGTTCTCAGCAGTGTTATAAGTAATAAAGCCTTTCTTATAATCTCATTGTAATCACCTTAATGTTCTCACATTCTCCCTACTGTCAGTTTGTAGAGACATTTTGATACCCAGTACAGTGAATAGTACACATGACTATCTTATCACATTGTGCATGGAGGCTGGAGGTGACCAAAAAGAGTTTTTGTTGCAGCAACAATCAGGATGTGAATCCTGGCTTTTGCTTTAGTCTTCTGCTTCCTGAGATAGAATGGTAAAGCAATGGCCCTTAAGGGGAAAGTGCTGAGTAGTACAATGGTGCCATTCTAAACAATGTCTCAGTTATGATGCTGAACTTCGTACTCTGCTTATGAAAATGTAATTTAATGTCCAGTTTAATTGTGTGTGTGTGTGTGTGTGTGTGTGTGTGTGTGTGTGTGTGTGTGTGTGTGTGTGTGTGTGTGTGTGTGTGTGTGTGTGTGTGTGTGTGTGTGTGTGTGTGTGTGTGTGTGTGTGTGTGTGTGTGTGTGTGTGTGTGTGTGTGTGTGTGTGTGTGTGTGTGTGTGTGTGTGTGTGTGTGTGTGTGTGTGTGTGTGTGTGTGTGTGTGTGTGTGTGTGTGTGTGTGTGTGTGTGTGTGTGTGTGTGTGTGTGTGTGTGTGTGTGTGTGTGTGTGTTGGGGCCAGGCAAAGGCTGTCACTTCACAATGTAGCAAGCACTGAAGGCAGACGCAAGGGTTTTCTCTGCCACGTGTCACACCCAATCTCCTCCCCTGGAAATGTAACCTAGTTTTTTGGACTGTGCACTGACTCAAGCTGCCTGCAACACACACACAATTAAACTGGACACATGCACAGCTCTTTTAAATATAAAGACGCATATTTAAATGCAGTGTGTACAGTTGTTAAAGTAAGGATGATTATGTAACTAACAGATAAAAGACAGCAGTCCAGTGTCATGTTGGTCAGTTATACATTTCTAGAAAATGCTGCAACAGCAACTTAACTGTATCTTCTCTGTGTCTACTCTACACGTTTAAAATGATCTTTATACTTTTTCATTTTGCATATTTTATCTACATTTAAGGTTTTTTTATTTGCTGTAATTTGGGACATAAATTAACTACTCTACAACTTCTGCATTTCAATACTTACATGCACTATATATTTATGAATGTGCTGTTAAATAATTTAGCAGGTGTGACCCTATTGAAATCAACAAATGCTATATTAAGTTATTTAAGTTTAAAAAATGCTATTTACTAAATTGCCAGACAACCTTGACTTTCACTGGATCGCATACTCAATTATCATAAGCCCTTTAAAAGTCTCTGTGAGTCTTTCTTTTTTATTACCCACAGTTTGCTTGAGACTTTGTTCAATTGATGTGAAGAACTAATAAATAGATCCACACACATTCATTTAATCACACAAGGAAGTGGTGTGTTATGTGGTTATAGTTTATAACGTGTTATTTTCACAGGGAGGGGCCCAGCGTTCACCTAGAGTCACATCACAGAGCTCTAGATTCAGTGTTTGGCCTTTTAGGGGTTCTTGCCAGCCTTCTTAGGACAGAGGGTGTTCCCCGTTTTGTGTAAATGCACAACGATGACATGTTGGACAATGACCTGTGCTCCGTTCTTCTGGTTAGTTAGTGAGTGTGTGAACATTATCTGTATCCCAGTATGTTAAAATACAAAAGAATTCAGTTTCGGTCTTAACGTCCCCCAGAATTCACACGTTTGAAGTATTTGTGACGTTGAAGAAACTACTGCACGTCCTTTTTGTTAAACTTGCAGTGAGGCTTTAAATTCCAGCCTTTAAGCCCTGAATGGAAGTCAATATTCACTCTCTCTCTCTCTCTGCCAGAGTCACCCGTGCCCACCGTGTGCCTGATGATTTTCATGCCCGCTACTGTGCCCAGTCTCGGTCCTACATCTACCGAATAGCCCTGGGAGTCCCCCACCACTCCCAGCTTCCCCTCATAGAGCATGACCTCTGCTGGAACATCCGCAGCACGTGAGTTATCCCATTTCAAACACCCGTTATTCACTCATCTGTCTTCATCCTTCATGTGTGTTGATGTGTGCACCATGATTTCCTGGAGAAAAATCCAGATCATACAGGAGCTCGGTCTAACAAGTAGGTCCACACACACACACACACACACACGCGCACACACGCGCACACGCACCATCAGCTAGCTCCCGCCAAGCCTTGCAGAAACAATGGCACGTTAAACACATGAATAATCCACACGTGCCGGAACCGCATATGAGGGCCAGTGAAACAAAGTGTTGTGATGTGAGCTGACATTGTAACAACAAACAAAAGAAGGGAGGGGGAGAGAGAGGAGATGAGGGAACTGATGAAATGGGCGAGTGCTACATCACTTCGATGATGTTCTTTTAGCTGTGATTGGAAGGAGGGAGTGTGAAGAAGCACATTTCAGAGGGTGTGTGTGTGAGAGCATTCATCTACGCTTCACTTTTTTTTTGGAAGAAAGTAGGGCAAGATAAGCTGCAGGCTGATACACAAGCAGAACAACACCCACGCACATTACCCTGACTATGTTTATTTTTTTCCCTCCATCTCCTCTCTCCCTCTCTGCTTTCCTTCTCTCCTCTTTCCTCGTCTTTCTATTTCTCCTTCCCTCTCTTTTCTCTCTATTGCTTGGGTGTCTCGTCCCTCCACCCCTGAGCATCTCTGCCTCCACAGCCTCTCTCTCTCTCTCTCTCTCTCTCTCTCTCAACTCTCTCTGTGATCTACCTCTCCCTCGTCATCACACACACACCCCTTCCCAAATCTCTCCCACTGCAAAAAATGTGAACCTCCACTACTGTTAATTTTAATCTCAAATTCAGTCTGAGTCATGCATTCAAGTACACTTTCAAAAATGTTTTACAGTCCATTGATTGTATCACAGCAAAGATTTTGAAACTAATGAAAAATCCTGGAATTCATGTTCACCTCGGGTTTTCAAACTTCACTGAGGCTGCAAAAATCACCACTGTCTTTCCCAATGAATTTGTCAACTAATTGCCTAATAACATTTTTGCTCTAGAAGAGTCCTGAATTTCTCTACTGGGGATCAATGAAGGATTATCTGATCTTGTCATAAGATGATGTGTTGATACAAGCCAAAAACACCACCTGGAAACAGTTTAGTCTTACACAACCTTAATGTATTTTGTGTGATGTTTATATTCATGGTTGCAGCTCTAGAACATTGACAACTTTTGACAAATGAATAACTGACCCATATCTTCCGTTTGTCCTGGTGAATTAATTAACAGTTGAAAAGAACATACTCTTAAGAGACTGATACTTTCTTGATACTTTGACTTTTTGTGACCAATCAAAATGTTTGCAGAGAGATTGTCAATTGAACAATGAATAGATAAAATCATACTCATTATAAAAAAACACTTTAATCACAGATGTAACTGAATTCACATATTGTGTGAACCTCTGTGAGGATGTATTACAGTGCTGCCTTAAAGAGGACATATCCCCCCTCCTCCACCTTTTCTAACAGTCCCCTGTGGTTTAAATGAAACATCTGTGCTGTACTTTAATCAAAATATAACATGAATCAAGCACCAGAGGAGGTTTGTGACCCTGTATAAACCAGCTCTCTCAGAACGCCCTGTTTTGGTGTGTGTGTCTCTTTAAATGCAATGAGCCCCCCCGTTCTGTTCTGTATAATACAGTATCAATGCTTCAGTTTATAGTTAATGTTTGTTAATTTTGAGGTTTAATATTAGGTTGTATTTACGATAGACAGACTTCAATCATTTATCTACAGAAACAAGTTAACCCAAGAATAAATTGGCTTTTTAAGTTTCCTGCACAGTCCACCACACGTTCATTCAGAACTCTCACGTTCAACATTTTGATTAATGAGTCACTCAGCACACTCCTCAGGTCCCTGCTCGCTGGATCTCTGCCTCTCTCTCGCTCTCTTGTCAGATCATATTTGAGCAGTGACAGAAGAATGAGACTGTAGAGAATCCGAGCACCCGGACCACTTACTCTCTCTCCCTCACATGAACCTGTCGGCGACATGCTCTGCTCCCTCACGTGGCTCCGTGCATCAGATAATTTCACATTATATAAGGCAGCCAATAAATTATTCTTCTTTCAAAGCGGGAACACGGAGGCCTGAAAACTTGTTGTACTTACTATGTGTGCTAAATCCCAGCTGTTTGATCTTGCTGTTCAGGAAGGTCGCTTTCTGTGCATGTTGCAATATCAAAACAACTGCTCAGAAGTGGATCAAGCAGTCTGTTTAAACTCAGAGTCCAAAGAAAATATATTTTTTTAATGATCCTTACAATAAAATGTGTCCGGTTGTTGTCTCTTGTCAGGGAGTTGGATGTTGGAGCAATGCGCGAGGCCGCTGCCCTGCTGGTTGGGGTTCATGACTTCAGCAGCTTCAGGGCAGTGAACTCTGACCTGCCTTTTAAAAACCCTGTGAAGACACTGGATGTGGCCAGCATTCAGCCAGGAAGCTCCTTCACACAAGCACACTTCCACAGGTAGGTTATAAATGCTCATGTAAACTGATCACATGACCAGCGGCCTTAACATTTGTAAGGTTGAAAAAAAAATGTTCTATGTTCTCCTGATGAGGCTGTTTTAGATTTGGGAAAACATCTTAATAAATTGTGCTAAGTTGTCATAAGATTTTATACAGATATTGTTGTCACAGTCAGTATTAGGGTGGTTTGATTTCTTTACTAAAAGGTATTTCTGTAAACGCTAAAACCCTAAACTTCAAGACATCCTATGATTCTCTTTGTGATTAGCGCTGATTAGCTTATGGGACAATGCTAACATCACAACATTTGTTAACACCAATAAGTGAGTAATGTCATTTTTAACATTTAATATGTACGCAGACCTGGCTGAGAAAACAAACGATTACTGTTGCAAAAATCAGTAAAGTATTTCTGATTTCAGATGAGTTAAAATGCTCACTGAGCACATTCACATGTCCTTAAAAATACAGGAACACAAAGTTGTCAGCGTGGCTGTACGTTCATAGTCATCCTGATCTATAAAAACACTTGATACAATAAATCAATCATCAAAAAAGCTCTTTTTTTTTTTTTTTTACTAACAAGATGATTATTCTTTGAACCATTTTAGCTTTTTTTTATTACAGCCTGTCAGAATGAAATGAAAATGAGATCCCTAAAATAGTTCTGTGTCTAGACAGGAGAAGCTGAGATACAAACATGTCACACTGGAGCTGGCTTTGGTTCTAATCTTGCATGCTTTTTATTTATTTTGCGTACACGCGTGACTTGGCAGTATGAGACACAGCCTTCAGTCCATCCACTTAAAGATACCGTCCCTCACCAGAGTCCATGAGCTAACAGTCCGGCTGTCTACATCTGCCTCCCACACGCCTTACTTGTCAAATATAATCACACAGCAAGCGCTGAGTCAAATTTGCATTTGACCCAATTCTTCCCATGTGCCTGTTTCCTCTTTTCACTCTTTCTTCCCCAAAAATATACGGTCAGATTTAAAGGGGGGGGGGGAGCTGCTGTGTCTTAATTGTTCCAACAAAAAGCATCAGAGAGAATCAAACTGAATGTCAACTTGCAAAAGAAACAGATTCATATTCTTATGGCATTACCCATAATCCTTTTGGGCCCAAGCTGCAGTGGCCTATTCAGCAAATGACATTTAAACACATCTGTGCAAGAAGAGAGTCCCAGCCTCTTATCTGATGCCTGGCACACATGAATGTCACATCAGCCCCCATTTCTCTGCCCACAGTGGAGGGAAGTCTCGACAAGTAAGAGATAAAGGAGCAACGTGTCTCAGAATAGAATACATGTTAGACGTGGGCCTTTTTTTAGTCGGTTTATAAATACATTTGGTGCTGTCAAACAATTACATTTTTGAATCGCGATTAATCGCTTGGAGGACTATATCCTCCTTGATGGGTTGCGCAAACAAACCAATAGGCTACCGGCGCCCTGTCTAGGAGTTTAGTCAAGTGAAAAGAGCCAATGAAAGATGAAGCAGTGTTGTTCTTTTCTGTAACTATGACTACAGGGAGACACTGCGGAGGCTTAACAATGCTGCACCTAAAGGGATAAAACAGCTTCTTTTTTTAATTAATGCATTAATTTAAGGCCTTAGTTAATGCTGATCGCCCTGGAATAACTCACTTTTAGAACATGTCTAAACGTCTCAGGTTTACACTCTCTGTATTGATGTAGTTGTCCTTATGGGGCAGAGTGACGCTGTATTACATCTGACTGCATTTCTAGATACAGTTTTGCTGCTCAAGTGACACTTTATACCCCGTGGCAATGTTTAACCTTTCTTTAGTAAGGCACATTGAAGTCTCCAGGACTGAAGTTATTATTGTAACATTTCATGAGAAGTGTCTGCAATGTGCCTGAAGGCCTTTGTGCCACGAGACCAAATGTGCAGAAAACAAAGGCTGTGACATTTCGGATGTGTATTGTCCCTCCAGTGCATGTTCAGACATTTGTGAAAGCAAAATTTAACAGGTTTTTTTTGTTCTTGTCTTTTTTTTCCAGAGAGATTCCATTCTTGGAGCTGACGTTTACAAGCAGATCTTTTCTCTATAAGCAGGTTATTTCCTCCTCTTCACTTTAAGTATTACTTTTAACATGTGGAAATGTGAATGCATTTGCTCTGTGTTGGTGTTTAGCACCATCTGCTGGATAAAAACTGAAAGAATGACAATGATTATCAGGCATTAAGGGAACGTTGGTAACACTTACTTCTACCCTATACGGGCCATACTAAGCAAAGCACATGAAGGTCATAGTTCATCATCATAGTACAACAACTGACTGTCAATAAGCAGTAAAATTGAAGGGTATCGCGCTCTGATCTAGTGTCAGAACTACTGAGGAAGGAAATGGACATGGTTTGCATGAACACACGTTTAAGTGTCTATTCCAATTGTTCTGTATTATTTGGATTGCTGCAGGGGACATCTAGAAAAGAGACATTTTGAGGGCAAACTGTTAGATAATGGCCTATTAGCTATAGACTTTGGTCATGTAGCATAAGGTACTAATAATAAGCGCTTAATAATGGCCAATAAGCAGCCAGTATGCTACTAATAAGCAGCTAGTTAGTGGTGAATATTGTGACCTTAATTTAAAGTGTAAAATAGTTTGTGATTAAGACAAAGGTTGTTTTAGAACACTAGTGGTTGAGAGTCTCTCAGGTAGATAATGTTGCTCTGGCCCTGTTCTCCAGGTGCGGAGGATGACCGGGGCCCTGGTGGCTGTGGGTCAGGGGCGGCTCTCACTGCACAATCTGAAGGAGATATTGGAGGCTCGGGACTCTCTAGCTTACCCACAAGGCCTTGTTGCTCCAGCCCGTGGCCTCTTTCTCACAAGGGTGGACTACAGGGCAACAGGTGAGGAGGATCAATTCAAACATTTGTCTCTCTGGTGAATTTGTCATGCAGACATTTAAAGAAACTGTTAGGATTTATATTGTCAACACTCTTCTTGATTTGGTGAAAGCAGCAAGTTTGTGGGAATAGTAGTTGATCATGTATTTTTATATGAAGTGAAGTGGCTACTGGAATGTGCGGAAGGTCACCAAGGAGTTGAAAGATAAATCTGAAGGATGATTACTGGGAAGAAAAAAAGTGACTTAAACTCAGTTATCACACCTACAGATATAGCTTAACGGGAAACTTAAGAGATGTAGCAAGTGTATAAATTGTGGCCCATCTTATTTTATTGGACTAATCTTTTAAGTACACATGTAAAGCAAACAATGCTGATGTTTAATTCAAACAGTCACGTATGTCTTTTCTTTGCCTTCTCAGATATTCAGTTTTCACAACAAACATCAGAGGAATAAATTGTCTCCGGTGGAGGATTCATTTGACTTCATGCAACTGTGTTTATAAACTGTTCATCCCAACTTCTTTGTGAAAGAATGTCAGAAAGGTTTGGATATTTGTGTGTATTACTCAGCAGCATAGTTTTCAATGTCTTGTCAGTTTGTAGTGAGTCTTTTCACACACTTGTTCTAATAATCCTCAGACTTCAAACAGATGAATATCTACATGTTCTTTTAATTCAAGATATGAAGATTACATAACTGTGTCCATGACCACAGCTCAGCCACAGAATAGCACACACCCTGAACCTATCACAGTCTACACATGATCTTGCTCCTATGTATACAAGTATGAAAACAGGTTGTGGTAGGTTCTCCTGACATTTATCAAACAAGTTATACAACATGTGGAGAGGAGTGTTGAGCTCTACAACCAAAAAACTGCTTTGTGTGTCCATGGCTCTCGTACAGCGGTATTACATAATGGATCAACCAAGTGCGTACACACACTCTCACTGATAATGTATACATCCAAGTGTCCAAATAAAACTGCATACACTGCGTCTTTACCCAAAAGTCTTCACAGACCATTCTTGTGTATTTTCAGACACACACACTTGCTTCTTATTCGGTTGCATGTGCTCGTTGAGTGAGTTTCAACAAATTGTCCATAAACAGTCCATGACAACAGGCTGACCACCAGCAGTCTTCTCAGTGCCGGTCGCCAGAAGAGGTTTGTACAAGGTTCAGACCAATGAATCACCCGCCTTTAATGTTTTCATTAGTTCGTACACCTTTTCTCATTTATGCTCACCACATTCTAAGTGCTGCATCTGTCAAAATTGAACCTCATGAGGAATGTTTTTGCACTTCTTAGAAGTGACAAAAATGTCAATAACTCAGTCGCACTATTTTTTTTATTATTTTTTTTAAACTAAACTTTTTAATATGTACACAAGTACATGTTTTCTATCCATGTGGCCGTGTTGGAGCAACACAGTGAATCTGATTGGCATAGGTCCTTTAAGTCAATTCAACATTTGGTTTCAACAAGATAATTCACACAAGACGTCCATAATTCAATATACTCAAAATTTCAAGTGTTCGCCAGAATATTAAGCCCAATGTCTTAGAATATCAGTAACAAAATCATATGAATATATATATAATGCACTTGAGGAAGGCATTGTTTTTGTTTGTTTTTAAACTCACAATCCTTAATAACAGCACAGTCTGAGTGAAGAATGTAGCTGAGCTTAAGTTGAACTGGAGACCCTGATTGAGAAGATTGTGTGGGACAGTGAAGCACAAAGGGGGAAATTATCACATAAGACCTTAACGGCCACATTTTGAGTAAAAAAATAAGACTATTGAATAATGCTCAACAGTGGCACATAGCCTGTCCTGATAATGGCGGATGTTTTATGATATAAATTAAATGTGAGATGTGTGGGTGGCTGATGATTTCTTATGAAACAATTATCTCAATGACTTGAAGTTAGTAGTGTATCACTCTAGGAGGCTTTTTTTGGCATTTGACTACACACCCTGATGCTAAAGCTGAGGTTAATTCAGGAGTAATTGTATGTTATGTGAATACAGGTTGATAGGATTTGATAATAGCTATCACAGGTTGATAAGTTTGCATAGACCCTTAAACCCAACCATCACCATCTCAGTTACAAACATTATGATTAAACTACAGCTCAGAGCAGCATACCCAAATTCACCCTTTGTACTTTTGGTCGATACAGAGTAAAATAAATATTATCAATATGATAGTTACATTCAATTATTCTTTTCTTTTTTTCCCTTTAAAAATTCTAAACTCTGTGGCACATAAAATAGTTTTTCGTTCATACTTTTTTTTTTGTGAATCTCTTAATAGCTATGACCAACACCAAAAAGTGTTTCAATAAATCCATTTGTGTTCAGTGAAACCAGAGTCCACTATGGCTGCTTAGTACAGCATCACGATACAAAGCGATAAACTCAGACACTTTATTCAAAGAGGTACAAAGAGTGAATGGGGTATGCTCCCGAGACTTACAAAAACACTCGTCCGAGAGGAAACATATCCACATGTAAACATATATTGTGTTTGTGGTTTTGCTCTTTTCTCCAACAGCTAAAAAAAATAAAAGCATAAAACACTGTAGGAGCGTACAGTCCTGGGGGGGGGGACAAAGAGGGGAGGGGCAGTCGAGTTTGCGTCCTTCATGCAATAAACAACGCTTTCTTTAGCTGGCGATTTTCTCGATTTCATCCAGATCATCTGTGTCTAATCTTTCGATTTTCTTACCTGCAAAGGGAGAAACATTAGAAAGTGGTTAGGTTTAACTAAAGCCCCGACAAATAGCTGTTTACTAGAAGTCAGAATCTCCCTAAATAGAGCACGTCTTCTGTTTTTAACTGTCACGTTTAAATGCCACTCAAACTTATCAGTTTCCATAAAGCGTGTTTGTGACTTACTGAAATGCTCCTGGATCCTGTTGAGGATGTTCATGCTCATCTTGCCGTCCACCATGTTGATGGCCAGTCCCCTTTTGCCAAATCGTCCTGTGCGGCCGATCCTGTGCAGGTATGTCTCGTTGTCCGGGTTACCATCCTTGTCCACAGGCAAGTCAAAGTTGATCACCACAGAAACTTGCTCAACGTCGATACCTGCCAGACAGATAAATGGTAGTACACGGGCAGTACTGTATTATTTGTATGCTGGCATAGCACAGGCAGGGGCGTGTCCACATTTTCTTTCACTGGGGTGGCCCAACTCGAGCACCGACTAATCCAGGGGTGGCCGGAAGGGTGATTTGCGCACAAACACGCAAAAATAAATATCATTGGCAATATTTTGGTCCCGACACATTGTCAATAAGATATTGTGCATTACTTTCCCATGTACCTGTTTAATGAAAAAGATTTTAAAAATAAAATGTGCTCCATTGATAAGTAAAGATAACTACTAGTAGACTTCTGCAAAAAAATACCTATTAGTTGGTTTAACAGAAGTTCTGCCTCTGACAAGGTAAATAGCCAATCACAGTTTAGGTTTTTCTGGACACGCCCCTTAGTAGGGGCAAGTGTATATTTATTAATTCATCAGCATTTAGATTAAAACAGCAAAGGGGTGTTTGCATGTGTATTCAATGAACCAGGTAGAAATAGTTTCATAGTAAAAAGACTGCAATCCTTTCTCTTCTGGACCCTTTATGAATGTGAATATCTGCCTACTGTCATAGCGCTCAGTCCTCACCTCGAGCACAAACATTCGTGGTGACCAAAACCTTCTCCTTGCCATCTCTGAAGCGTCAATGACAGCAGCCCTCTGCTCCACCTGCATCTCACCGCTGAGCAGCGCAACCTGGTGGCCCTCTCTGGACAGTTCCCCAGCAAGCCAGCCTGCTGTCTTCCTCGTCTGGATCAGACAGAGAACTGTCACATTTTCACCAGCTCATGCATTCATAAAAAATTCCTTTGCTTAAAGTGTTTGTAAATAAAAAGGGGAATAATTACTTTGTTCGGATGAAACAGAGAGGTCACAGTAGACACAATAAACAGAATTTTCTATTCCCATACGTAATGAGTCCACCATTGTTCATCATCTTTAATGAAGGTCAGGCATGTAAACATGAAATAAAAGGACTTACATGGCAGAAGATCATGGCCTGGGCGATAGTGATGGCTCCATAGACGTTACAGAGGGCTTGGAACTTTTCCTCCCTGCTGTTGCACAACACGTAGTACTGTTTGATGGTATCAAGGGTCTCCTCCTCTCTCTTTAACTTTATGATGTTTGGAGAAGGCACGATGCGCTGGGCAAAGTTCCACACTGTCTCTTCAAACGTGGCTGAGAATAGCAACATCTGGCAGGTTTGAGGCAGCATCCTGTGAGGCAGGGACAGGTGAGAGAGTAAAACGTCAAAAGCTGTCAAAATGTGGGCAGAAAGATTCAATCTAGGACTGCTATGTGTAAACGTTCATTCTGACCTTTGGATGCGGATGCTCTGGTCTTGGTGACCCTGTGTTGCGATCATGACATCTGCCTCGTCTAACACAAACACCTTGATCTTCTTGGGGTCGATGAACTTGAATTTACTGCACCAGTCCAGCATGGTGCCAGGGGTCCCAATAACGATCTGTTCCTGTAGCTTCATGCCCCTGGGCACTGGAAAATTCACAAGAAACATGCACTCATCAACACGCTGAGCCGTCTTTAAAACATCCTTCACGGACAGAGCGTCCACAGGTCAAACATTAACAAAAACTATTTCAAAATGTTTCCATTACAGTACAAACGTAGCACCGAATAAGCAGAGAATCCTTACATTTATTTCCTCTGATTGCGTAGACTAGTTTGACCTCAGGATAGTGCTTCCCCATCTGCTCGATAACCTTGCCAGTCTGAAGTGCCAGTTCATAGGTGGGTGACACACAGAGGCACTGATGGAAAGAAATCGGATTTGGGTAAAAAACATTAAGGGGTCTAGTCGTGATTATCATAATACTTTAGTCATTTTTGATACAGGCAGGAGGATAACCTCAAAGATATTTAAAAAGAAAGTCATACATGCCATTTTTTTTTTTAAACTCAAGATTTAAATGAGATCTCCAGAAACATACCTGGGGATATTTGTTGTCAGGATCTACATGACTGAGCATAGCCAGAACAAAGGCAGCAGTTTTCCCTGTTCCTGACTGTGACTGAGCAATCAGATTCTGTGGACTAGAAAATAGCATGGAACTAGTTAGTAGTTAAAAGTGGTAAAATGCTTTTGTTGGTATACATAAGTATGTTCCAATAATTAATAGAGGTGTGACTGAAGTAGGGACATTTTGCCACGGTTAAGTATTCCACAAGATTTATGTTTAGTGTGAAGTCTACTCACGGTCCAGCCAGCATCATAGGTAAGGCAGTCTCCTGGATTTTAGATGGCCGGTTGAAACCCATGCCATAAACACCCTGAAGCAGCTGTGGCTTCCTACACAAATGAACAAAACTAATAAAATCTCTTGTTTTGGCATAAGTGTTTAATGAGCACAATATCCACTTGTTTTGGCATCTACATTTAAGTGAAGACTTTATGGTTAAAATAAACATTTTGTGGACAAAAAATCCTTTCCATCTGCATGCATGTTATCAACAAAACAAAGCCTGATTGATGGCTGTTAAGTAAAATATGTCAATTTACCCACCATGAATTAGTTCAACAAAAGAAATGAATGGCCTGATATACACTTCACTTACAGTCGCAACTCCTCAAAGGACTTGACTGAGTAGAGCGGAGAGTTGGGATCCTTCTGAAGAACTTCCACCTGATTGGTGTTATTGACAAGATTATTCCGGATTAGCTTGTTCAATAATGATTGTGCCGCTTTGTCATCTGGAAAAAAAAAAAAAAAGCGTTTACAACCCAGAGATATGCAGACATCTCACTGAAAGACGTGTAAGAATTTGAGACAGCAGTATATTAATATTTCAGGGAACGTATATAAATAACTGCCAACCTTTATCATCGTCCTCTGTAGTCTTGTTTTCTCCCTCGGGTTCTGATTTTGCAGCTGCACTACCCGAGTCTGTTGCGTTTGAAAGCGTGCCTGTGACATTTAATTTATGAATTACAATATTTAAACTCAAAACACTTTGTTGAAGCATTGTTTGGATTCTATTAGAGATGTTAATTTAGGAGATTTACCATTTTCCTCTGGTTTTTCTTTTATCTGAAGGTTACCAATCTGTAAGAGGCACACAAAAATATTAAATTAGCTTGTGTGCTAAAACAATGTGCTCCATTGTGTAACGGACGGTGGTCTCTGGTTGTCTATTTAGTGATATATCATCTAAGAATCAAACAGGGGCCAAGTCCCGACTACTACATTCATTTTTGGAGTTCTGTAAAACAAATGTATGTAAATGTAAAAATAATTTACAAATTATCCCTGCACTCATGTTCACTTCATTTGTCTGTCTACTCGCCGTTATATTGTATAGTTTCTGCTGATAACGTGACTACACTCATGCACTTTGACCTATAGTATCACTGATTGCACAGCTCTGGACAGCTCCCTATGTCAATACTGTCCATTTACAACTCCGTTTTAGCACATGTACATTTAATCTTTCATATTTAAGACTAGTAATGCTTAGTTAAATCCTGGTTGTATATATTCCCATTCTTAGTTTTGATATTTTTAGTGCTTATTTACTTTGTATTTAATATTATATGGTGTTTGAATTTGCTAATATTGTGTTTTTTGCCAATATTGTGAGTTGGACAACCTGCTGCTGTAACGCCACAATATCCCAGTTTGGGATCAATAAAATAATTCTGTTCTATTCTATATTTAATTCTATTCTAAAAGCCTCTTCCACAGGTTTCATGTTAGCCAGCTAGCTGCTAAAGCTAAAGATTCATTGAGCACGCAGCGTCTGAACTGAAGCTAGTTAAGTTAGCTTTCACGACTTAGCTGAAGCCACCCGGCGTTTCGTTTTCAAGTCAGTATGAAGAGAATGACAGAGTGCCAAACTGGACAAGTGAGCAGTTTCAATATTTACAGATGCAGCGCAGATGCTACTTTCCTTTCACATTGTACAAAACAGGCCAAAGCAAACCAATAAACATGCTAATGATACGCTATCTTGTGTTGCGTAAGTTGAGGCTTACCGATTCCGCCGCAGCTTCTTGCTCGTCCACTGCCTGGGCCCAAGAGTCCGTAGCCATTGTGGGGGCAGTTTCTACTTTTTTTTGTTTAAAAAGATTAAAAACTCAATTTAGAAACTGAAGCGCAAGCCTGAGAGTACGGACCGAGCAACGTTTATGTGAAAGTAGCTAGTTTCCGGTTTCCACAATGGCGTGCCGAAAGTTGCACAGCAGTTTACATGTCCGGGCAGAAAGCAAAGCCTAACGCTGAACAGTTCCTAGCTAATTGAATGTGCTCAGGTGAAAAATGAAAGCATTAAATTAACACATGTAAACAAATGAATCCATTTTGAGTTAAAAAAACAAAACAAAACAAAAAAAACAAAACAAACAAAAAAACAAACAAACTTGTTATTAATTAAAATGAGAATTCGGGAGATATGATGCCGAATTAAAAAAAACAACAGTACTATGTCGAGACTGTAGGTGGCGTCAAAACTTTCTGCATAAATTCAACCTGCCTGCAAAATCTTAAAAAACACACACACACACACGCACACGCACACGCACGCGCACGCGCGCGCACACACACACACACACACACACACACACACACACACACACACACACACACACACTCGTACACATAGACTAATCCAAACTGAAAACTAGAAGGACCCGGACAAAGTACACATAGGCCTAGAGGCACTTTATAACCACAGCGAAACAGATCATTTAGACTCCAGATTAACTATGTTGCAATTGGTTTGCAATTAAAAATGTGTTTGTTTTTATGCACCAGCAACAAAAAATTGAATTGGAAAGGGCCTTATAGTAGATCATATTAGGCTATAGTTCTGGGACCTTGATTCTGAATGTCTCCATCTCTCGTAAAAAATACACTAAACACTTTTCAGAAAGCTCAGGAGAGTGGTTAAGAGCAGATAATCTATACTAATGAGATTCGAACACTCTTCCACAATCTTCCTCTCCTCTTGCCTCCTCATCTGCCCTTTGTTTATTCATTTCCCTCTGTGTCAGAGTGGACAAATGTAGTGAAGTAAAAAAGTAGATTTCTGACTCAAAAGTATACTTAAAAAATGAAGCCAGTATAGCATATTTCAGGGAAGGAACATGACAATTCTGAGCTATTTTTTTAACTTGTGTGTTACTTGAACAACATTAATCACCACTGACTATATATAGCGTAAGTGTCAAATAGATTTCTTGGATTTATGAGCATTTTCTGATCAGGCCTGGTAAAATAATGAACACAGGTTTTGGTTTTAAACTGAATTTTTTCACTTAAATCTAACAAATAAGGCCTGGTACTGCAGTAAAAAACTAATTTATTCGATCAAGGGGGGCTGCAGTTTACGGAATATTATGCAGTCCCTTACAAGAGGGTGCAGAGTGTTCATAACACAGTTTGTTATATGGTTTACTAAAAAAAGTATCTATCTATCTATCTATCTAACTAAAACTAACTAACTGAAATGATTCTGTACTTGTAAAACTAACGTAAAATAAAACAAATGCCTAAGTCTAGCTTAAGTTTTTGTCAATTTGTTGAATAAGCATGACGATATTAGACTGGGATGTAAAGGCCTATGACTGTGAGTCACTTCTCTCACAATGTGCTGGTTTTGCATTGCAATAGCCTACTCATATTGAATATCTTAACCCTTGTAAGTCTTAGCCTTTATCTGTGCTATTTTTGGTCCACCTGGTTTCTTTATGTAATAATGCATGTGTAACCTCAACCTTTTCAAGCACCATCAAGTTATGAACGTCTATTTTCTCAGAACAACCTGGGCTATCAGAGTGTATGCTGTATGTCAGATGAATTTATGCATGTGGCTCATATGTTTGTAATTTAATCATAAAGACCAAATAAAAAACAAAACATACATCTCACAGATCTTCATTCAAATTGCACAGAGATCAACAGACAGATCAAAACTTGGCTTTCAGGAAAAAGCAAACTATTTACATTTTCACACATTTTCTCCATGTGTTTATATTTATATTTATTTTATTATTTATTTATATACTATTAAAGTTATTATATTTAATCTATATAATGTATATATTGTGTATCTATTTAGTATACATCACATAATTATGCATATTTATGTATATGTGTGTTTATATATAATTTCTATAAGAAGCAGAATAAATGTGTAAAAATGTAATACTCCAAATGTGTTCTTAGGCGCCTGCCATACAATTTCATTTGTCCCCATAAAGATCTGTAATATGGTTCCGGAGATATTATAAAAAACACAAGTGCCATTTGGGGGCTCTAGATAAATATATCCCATGAAAAATAACCCCATGTAAAAAAAAAAAAAAAGGCAGCTTCATAATGTACACAAAGGTCTCACTGGTCACAAACAGGGTAAAATAAATGTCATCAAGCAATAAAGCATTCACACCTTGACTCACTCTGACGTCTTACAATATCTCACTGGGGGGCTGTGAAGAAAAAGTCTGGATAAAGCTTGGGTGAAAATGTTGCATGTTTGCATTCACACATGCAGCTCCCTCTGAAGATTTCTGGAGGTTTTTCAGAGTATTGTGCTTGTGAGAAAACACCATTGTAGTTTGTAGTACAGCATTGAGAGCTGTACTATTTATTCTCAACAAACCAACCTCTCATTTATGACACCTTTTCCTGTGTTGGCACTGTTGGGTGCTGTATCATAATTGTTTTAAGTGGAAATCTGGCTATTAACCAGAGCTGCTACTTGACACCCCTAACATGTAATCATGCAATGTTATTTGGATGTATTTTGGTTTTATATTTTAATTAATTTTGTTTATGTTCTTATGTGCTATCCAGTATGGCTGTTGATGACTTTTGTTATCATGCTTTTGGTACAAGACAAATTCACCTGGAGGCAATAAAGGTTTCATTCATTCATTCAGTTGGCCTCCACTATGGACCATACAGGAGCACTCGGGGTCACTTCTTAAGTTGGACCGATGCGGCTGGCTGCTCATTAAATGAATGCAGAATTGATTTTACACATTTCCCCCTGCTCCACTGGGATTGATAGATAGATAATGACAGTGGCTTTGGCTTGTGTTAAAAGAGATTACATTGATATCTGTTCCGCTGTCATCCAATGGTCATCTTCACTGCGTGTGTGTCAGTCCAAGTTTCACCACATATGTATTTGCATGCGTTAGTGGGTGTGTGTCAGCAAGCCAGAGAGTTTTTAAGATCGTCAGTTTGGAGACAAATTAGTCAAAGGCTTGAACGAGCTGAGTTTATTGTTGCCTCCAATCAGCTGCCTTGCTGGAGGTATCCATAGCAACTGAAAGAGTAAAAGTAAGGCTTGAGGTCTCTGGAGAATTTGGAAGATACAGAGAGGAGGACTTTGTATTGCCACATAAGGACTCATTTCAAGCACTGAATATGACAGAAAGGATATCAAAGTAGTGTGGAGGAGAAATTGGTTTTACGTGTAAAAAAAGGTAAACACTGTGTCCGTGAATATGTAATGAAGATCTCTTGAACACTACTTCATGCTTATAAATATACAGTATGTAACAGTTTAAGTAGGCAGAACATACTCTCCACCACTCTTTTTTTTTACTGTAACACTTCAGAGGGGTGCGAACCCAGAATCCTTAACCAAAGTCCTTCTGTGAAAGGATGATCTACCTCAGGTTGGAATTTTTAAAATAATGACAGAAAAGTAGAGCCAGAGTGTAAGCAGAGTGAGAGGTAAAGGATGTGAATTCGCCCATCTATTTGAGATATGCTAATGACACTTCTGATATTAAACACACACAAAAAAACACATTTTAACTTACCAATAAATGGCAAAAATCCCTCAGGTGGGATATAGTCCACAATGGAACAGATTCTTGTGTTGGTTCAAAGCAGACACTCACAGTTATGGAAGTTCAATTACTCTTTTATTAGAGTTTGTTATGTTGTCTTTCGCCGTTTTAGTTGTACTTTGCTAATCTGGTGCACAAAGTGCTGCAGGAGACCATACCTCAACACAGCTGGTATTTATACTGTACCATTTTATAGCATCAAATAACTGAACAAAAAAGAAACTTCTCAGAAAAAAAGATGACTGAAAAAAATATGGCAGGAAAGTAACTTTGTGACAAACTGTGTTGGAGAAAATGTATCTGATTATATCTATCAGAATTTATCACTGAATTTTGTTTTTACAGTTTGACCCATGTCCTATCTCTTAAAATAGAGGATGCAGGGTTTACCTATACAGCGGTCAGTCAGCAGGGGGAGCTCTAAATCTATTGGCTTCACTTGAGTCAACGTATTTCACTGTCCATTCTTTATACAGTCTATGGTCCCATAAACCCCTTCTAACATTTTATTTATCTGCATCTCTTAACCCCTATACCTAGCTGTGCAATTCTCTGCACTTTTGTACTGTTGTTCTTGGTATTATGATGTGTCATGTAATTTATGCGGGCTGGTCCATTTCAATGCTATGACATAAAAATTAAAAATTCTGTTTTATTTGTTCAATATTATAGCTGTTGTGATGACAAACCCCACTGGACAGCAGTGATAAGAAGTTGTAAAATCAGTCTTTCTTGGTCACATGGCAGGTTTACAGTCAACAAAGAGAAGGCAATTCTTCTTAGTATGGCCACAGACAGACAGACAGTAGACAGCTCTACTGTATGTAGGCAGAACAAGTACAGGCAGACAGATCTGGACAGAGGTAGTGGGCTTAGTCAGCAGACGATCTGGGACAAAATAAGTTTTAGCCATCCTGGACTGACTGGTGACGAAATGTCTAAGCATGACTCTGTTGAATTATTAATTGTTTCCTGTTTTACTTTTTTCCACTTGACCTTTACTCTGATTTCAGTTGCTTTACCCCCTGCTAGTTTGTCTAACCCGTCCCTGATCAGTTTCATCTGTCCCTCATTACCTTATTATTATTCTTGATTTACCATCGGCAATCTTGCTGACACCTGTTCCAACCTTTGTTCGTCATTCTCAAACTCTGGAGCCGCCCTAGAGTAGTCCTAATGCCGTCTGTCTCCTGTACTGCTACTGTCCCAGTACCCAGGCCATTCACCTGGAAACCAGGTCCATTTATTGAGCTTCCGGGCCACCTGGTCCCTAATCCGTCCCATTCTGCTGGGATCAAGGTGGAGTTCATAGTCTTGAGTGAACGTAACATAAAAACTATGAGATTAACACATTTTTTTAAAGCTCTATGGAGCTGGGGG